AGGCAGGTGGTGTATCATTCAGCAGTTGTGAGATGATATTGGATTCATGCTTCCTAGTGTTGCCACCCCTTCTATCAATCAAGCAACTTCTCTTTACAGAAATGCGGCAGGTTTTACATCAAGGGGGCTTCGGGGACACTTTCAACATTCCTCAAGAAATCAGATATATCAGCCGTTGTCCCGCGTGCTAGGGATAACACGAATTCTTACTTCTTCATCCTGTTGTACTTCGGTGGGACAGATATCGGGTCTTCGTCTCGTTACAGCCGCGGCCGTCCAACTTTCACCATGCGTCTTGGCACCCTTCTGCTGGCTGTTGCCAGCCTAACATCTGCTGTCAATGCATACTGGATGGGGGACATTGCTCGTAAGGGGAGTCACTAGTTTCTAAGTTACTCTCAAGGCTAACAACATGGCTAGATCGTGGTTATGCCCCCTTCGCGTACTCTGGATATCCGGTCTTTCGAAACGTCAAGGATTATGGAGCAAAGGGTATGTTGAGCCAAAGTGTTCCCAGAGTTATAGGCACGATCAAGTCTAACACGGGAATAGGAGATGGTGTTACCGACGATACAATTGCTATTAATGCCGCCATCACCGCCGGAAATCCTTGCAACCAAGGCTGTGTAAGTGTTTCGGGTTTGAGCTGGTTGAAAAAGCTTATTCTAACAATTGTCTTTAGACCTCGACCACCACGACTCCAGCCGTTGTCTACTTCCCCGCCGGAACCTACCTTATCTCTGGGTCCATCAAGCCAGCATACTTTACACAATTGATCGGAGATGCGAGCTCCCCACCTACACTCAAGGCCACGGCTAACTTTGCTGGTTTTGGTCTAATTGATGCGAATCCTTACTACACTCAGTACCTGAACTGGAAGGCTGTCAACGTCTTCTTCCGTCAAATTCGCAATTTTGTTATCGATACTACGAATATTCCACCTGCCAATGCCGCCACAGGTATTCATTGGCCAAGTTCACAGGCGACGAGTCTGCAGAACATCGTCTTCAACATGCCGACGGCATCGAATGTTGTCCATGTCGGTTTGTTCATGGAAGAGGGTAGCGGTGGTTTCGTCACGGATCTGACCTTCAACGGTGGTGCCACTGGTGCTTCAATGGGTAATCAGCAGTTCACTATGAGGAACCTGAAGTTCAACAACTGCAAGACAGGTGAGCTCATCATATTTCTTCTTACATCTTGATATAGTCTGCTGACCCTCCCAAGCCATCTATCATCTGTGGAACTGGGGCTGGACATATTCTGGCCTCTCCATTAACAACTGTGGCGTTGGCATTGACATCACCGCCGGCAGCGGCAAGGTAGAAACCGGCTCCATCATCGTCTTCGATAGTTCCTTCACCAACACCCCCGTCGCCATTTCCACCTCCTGGACCACTGCCAGTAGTCCCGACACCGCCGGCACTCTCGTCCTCGAGAACATTGCCCTCACGAACGTCCCCATCGCCGTCAAAGGTCCCCAAGGCACTTACCTTTCCGGCTCCACCGGCTCAACCACCATCACGGCCTGGGGCAACGGCCATAAATACACCCCCTCCGGCCCTGTCGAGTTCGCCGGCGCCCTAACTCCCAACCCACGCCCCGTTAGCCTGCTCGCCTCCAACGGGCGCTACTACACGCGCTCCAAGCCTCAATATGAGACTCTCTCCGCCTCGCAATTCATCTCTGCCCGTGCCTCGGGCGCCAAGGGTGACGCCGCAACCGACGACACCGCCGCCCTGCAAAACGCTATCAACACCGCCGTCGCCCAGGGTAAGGTGCTCTACCTGGACTACGGGCTGTACCGGGTCACCTCAACCATCCGCATCCCGCCTGGCGCCAAGATTGTCGGCGAATCCTACGCCACCATCATGTCGGCCGGCGGGTTTTTCAATGATATCAACAACCCCAAGCCAGTCCTACAAGTGGGCAGCTCCAGCGGACAGGCGGGCACGGTGGAGCTAAGCGACTTTATCGTTTCCACGCAGAACGCGCAGGCGGGCGCAGTGCTGATTGAGTGGAACTTGGCCAGTCCGGCGAGTAACCCCAGTGGAATGTGGGATGTGCACACACGGATTGGCGGGTTTGTGGGCAGTCAGCAGCAGGTCGGGCAGTGTTTGAAGACGCCCGGGAATCCAACGGTGAGGCAGGAGTGTATTGTGGCGTTTATGGCCATGCATATCACCAAGGGGGCGAGCGGGTTGTATATGGAAAATGTTTGGTTGTGGTGAGTAACCCTCATCTCTTTTGCCTGGGACGGGAGAGAGAGAGAGAGAGAGCGAGGAGAGTATGGAAACTAACGTACATGGATAACAGGACCGCCGACCATGATATCGATGACGCGGCAAATACGCAGATTACTCTCTACAGCGGTCGTGGTCTTTGTAAGTCCTCTTTTCCTCTCCCATTTTCTTTGACGCCCTTAACCTAACCCCCTCCCTCCTTTTCCAATAAATACAGACATCGAATCCACCAGCGGCACCTTCTGGCTCTACGGCACCGGGTCCGAGCACCACGTTCTCTACCAATACCAGCTCTCCTCCACCCAAAACATCTTCATGGGCATGATCCAGACCGAAACGCCTTACTACCAGCCCACACCCAACGCCTTGGTCCCCTTCCCGTCTGTTTCCTCCCTCAACGATCCCAACTTCTCCACTTCCTGCTCGGGAGTATCGGGGAACTGCGCAGCAGCTTGGGGTCTCCGGGTGCTCAACAGCAAGAACATCCTTGTGTATGGAGCGGGCTTGTATTCGTTTTTCAGCGATTACAGTACTGCTTGCTCGACGTTTGCGGCGGGGCAGACGTGTCAGAGTAGGATTGCGAGTGTGGAGGGGACCGGGTGTTCGAATGTGAATATCTATGGATTGAACACGATTGGAGCGCAGAGTATGTTGACGAGGGATGGAGTGAGTGTTGCGTGGTACGCGGATAATGTGAATAATTTCCCGAGTTCGGTGGGGGTCTATAAGAGTGGGTGAGTGAGCTGGGCGGATGGGATGTTTGGAAATTGGTATGTATTGGGCTGGCTGGGAAGAGTGCAGTTTGTGTGGGGCGAAGAAGTGGTAGCAGCGGTAGGTTGAAAGACTTGGGGGATTGTACATATCAGACTGTTCTTGGTTGTGGGTGACATATCCGTTATTTCTGAATTTGGACCAAATCGTTAGAACTCAGACACCTTGGCTTCGCTAATAACCATTCATACCACTCACTGCCCATATTCACACACACCACACCAGCCCCTACCTAACCATCAAGCGAAAACCCAACATCCTTATTCTCCCTCCCCATCCTCACCAACCGCTCCCTCATCCCCTCCGCCCTCTCTCTCGCCTCCTCCCCTCTCTCCCCCAATGCCGAGAAATCACATCGTTCTACCCACTCCCCGACCCCATGCTGCAACACATTCCTCGCCCTCTTCCCACTTGATGTGCCCGCCACATGCCCGACACTTCCATGCAACGTCGTCCTCTCTTTGTGACATGAATACACCCCCCTATGCAGAATATTATTATCATAAAACGCCACGTCCCCCGCATTCAGCTCCACAACCAGCTGTCCCGGCATATCGGGCTCAAACGGATCCGCTGCGCGCTCTTCGTCTGTGCGCGGGCGCGTGTGTGACTTGGGAACCAACACCAGCGACGTATCGTTGTCGACGAGACTCAAGTTCCATTGCGTATGGTAGCGGGGTTCCGTAGCCGGCAGCACCAGCCTCTGCCTTTCTTCCTCGGCGGACGCAGTCGCGGGGATATCGTCCCGATGCCAGCTCAGAGCAAACTCCTTGTCGGGCCGAACGAGCATGTTGAACAGTTCCATTACCAGGTCGTCGTCCGTGGTGCCCTCGGGCAACAGTTGCTTAGCGATGGAGAGGATGGAAGGGGAAAAGTAGAGCTTCAGAAAGGCGTTTTTGGATTCCATGTCTTGGGGGAGGAGGGGCGGCAGGTCCGGGTGTAAGAGGTGTTGGACGCCCCAGATTCCGGAACCGTCGGCGGGGGGAGAGGAGGGCCAGGGTGGGAATTGTTTGCCTACGGTTCGGATGTAGGGCCAGGAACCGGCGCGGGCAAGGGCCGTCAGGGAGTCTGCGGCGGAGCGGAGGGTGGTGAGTTCGGAGAGGGTGAGGAGGGAGCGGATTACGGTGAAGCCATTTTCTTGGAGCTCTCGGAGGAGGGGGGAGGGGTAGCTGGTTTTTTGGGACATTTTTGGGTGATTTCAAGAGTTGACTGGTGAGAGAGGTGTTGGGTAGTTGATGAGAAAAGGTAGAGTCAAAATAGAATAGGAAAAGAAGAATTGGGATGAGAGTGAGAACCCGTCGTCCTCTTACCAAAGGATATTTCAAGGAAAGAGAAGCAAACGTTATCAGAGTAGGTCAACCTCGCTCGAGTTGGAGGCCGTCTTCATCCGAGTCTGGATAAGTTGGGGAATGGCCAAGACATCGTGTAACCTCAAACAGGGTGAGTATCGTGTGGGGTAACCAATAAGTAATATGCATGTGAAGTAACGACAATGAGGAGAGAAGAGGAGAATTGGAGAGTTTCGTCGGGGCATCTTTGACCCCAACCCGCTCCTCTGTCTACGAGTACTAGAAGATCGTGAGGTGGCACCAGTGAGGGACAATACAACGTTGCAGATGCCTCAACTTTGGGGGATTTGACTCGAGCATTCTCCAAAGGTAAACAGTGGATATGAAAGTGCGGAACTCAAATTCAAAACATAACAGAAGATGCGATATATTGAACAACCCATTTCGCCAACTGACTTTCCGTTCAGAAGTTTGGGGGATGGAACTCGAGGGAAGATACGATGAAAGACGGAAAAAAAGACAGGATGACATAAGCTCACAGTCAGCCAGCCACGTGCTCTCGCGATCCAGCAACGCGAACAAACAATTGAAATCGCCCCCCTTCGATCGCGTTTGCCTTCGACGTCATAACCCAGTGATGAAAGATTGAACACTTAAAAATCGTCCCTTGGACTTGGCACTTTAATCATTTTTTTGGGGAGTTTCTTGTCTCTCGTTCCTTACCCAATTTTTATATTCGAACCACTCAAGTCAATTCATCCGATAAGCAAACAAACAATGCCACCCCGCAAGCGCAAAGCCGCAGCCATCGCGCATGATGACGACGCAGTCTCAACACCCGACTACTCCGCGCGTCGCCGCTCAACGCGCGTCTCTGCCTCCGCAAAGAAAAGCCATTACTTTGAAGGCGGGGACTCTGATTCCGACTCACCAGAAGCTTCCGCCGCTGCCAAATCCAAATCCAACGCCAAATCCAAAGCCAAAGCCACACGCGGCAGGCCAAAGAAGGCCAAAGTAGAAGCCGATTCCGACTTGGACGAAAACGACGACGAAGACGACGAAGACGCCTATAACGACGACCCCGAAACCCAAAATGACGACGACGACGACAATACTCATCAAAACAACAACAACAACGAAGAAGAATCAGATGATTCCACTTCCTCCCCCAAGCTCACTTTCATCCCCATCCCCAAACTCCGCGACCCAAACGGCGTACCCTACACCCCCTCCACCATCCACCCCAACACCCTCCTCTTCCTCGCCGATCTGCGGCGCAACAACAAGCGCTCCTGGCTCAAACTCCACGACGCCGAGTACCGCCGCTCCCTCTCAGACTGGGAATCCTACGCCACCTCGCTCACCGACGAAATCATCGCCTCATGTGACTCCACCATTCCCGAGTTACCCTTCCGAGACATCAACTTCCGCATTTATCGAGACATCCGCTTCAGCAAAGATCCCACGCCTTATAAGCCGCACTACAGCGCGAGCTGGTCGCGCACGGGACGGAAAGGCCCGTATGCGTGTTACTATGTGCATGTGGAGCCGGGCAAGTGTTTTGTGGGTGGCGGGCTGTGGCATCCTGATGGGCCGGCGCTTGCAAGATTGAGGGCTAGTGTGGATGAGAGGCCGGGACGGTGGAGGAGGGTGTTGATGGATAAGACGTTTAGGGACACGTTTCTTGGGAAGGGGGGAAAGGAGTCGGTGATATATGGAAGGAAGAAACGGGAAGAGAAGAACAAGAAGAAGAAGGGGAGGGGGAAGAAAGATGAGGAGGAGGAGGAGGAGGAGGAAGAGGAGGAAGAGCAGGATGGTGGGTTGGATGAAGAGAGGGCGGTTATTAAGGCATTCTGTGTGGCTAATGCTGAGAATGCGCTGAAGACTAAACCCAAGGTGCGTCGGAATTTCGCTGCTGTCTGATTGGGTTGTTGGTTTTCGACTCTTTTGTTGAGGGGTGAAATGGTCAGAGACGGGTCAGCTAACGGGCTTTTTTGATTCTAGGGCTTCGATGCTGAGCATAGAGACATAGAGTTGCTCAAGCTGCGCAACTTCACCGTGGGGAAGAAGTTGCCTGATTCTGTCTTCACATCAGAAAACGGGCAGGAACAGGTGCTTGATGTTATCAGGGCTATGGTTCCGTTTGTAAGTACCGATATCCCCCTGCTTACAGTCACAAATGCTGTATCCAGATTATTGCTAACTGGGGCGGGTTATAGGTAACGCACCTCAATCGCATCGTCATGCCTGATCCTGGCGACGATGACGATTCAGAAGAGGAAGAAGTTTGAATGAAGCCGCTCGAGGGAATGAACCCTTTGTCCTGTGTTTTGGATTCGACTCCCAGTCTTTTGGATAGCGAGCGATATCAGGATCTGGAACTGCTTCATATTGTCGATTCTTCTTCCCTTGCTTACTGACGATGAAATGATACTCACCGCAACGGCATTCGACATTCCACCGAACAACTGTGTCTTTGTGGGACGTAAGTAGGTGACAAGTAATAGTTGGGTATCAGAAACTAATTAAAAAAAGGGAAGTAGACCCTGGTATCGTCGGTAACACATATCCCGCCAACATGACGCAGTACCGAAAACATGATAGCGTAGAAACCCATGAGGGGACACCGAAACTGAGCGTGTCCCAGTCCAATCCTGCAACGCCTCGACCTCCCGTTCCGTCTTTCCGTCCTCGTCCTCGGTCTAGCCAAGCCATCCAAATCCGCCGTACATTTTTTTCGAGTTCACTTTTGGCAAACCGCACCTAGTCTTCAACAAACACATCGCGTCGCAGTCGCGCTTAACAAAATCCATGATGATCCAGTCATCGTGTCGTTTAAGCGGTGGTAGCAGCAGCAGCCTCCTCCTTCTTCTCCTCGTCCTTCTTCTCCTCGGCAACGGGGGCGGCGGGGGCAGCAGTCTCGGCGGGAGCGGCGACAGCAGCAGGAGGCTCGGCGACGGCAGCTGCAGGAGCAGGAGTCTCAGTCTCAGCAGGGGCAGCGGAAGCCTCCTCCACAACCTTCTTGACTTCATGAGCAGCGGGGACGGCAACAGCCTCCTTCTCATCAACGACAGCCACGGGCACAGCGGCAGCCTCGGTAGCAGCAGCAACCGGAGCACCAGCAAACTCGGGGGCGGCGATCTCGGGGATTTCAAAGGGGGCGCTGACAACCTCGGGAAGAGAAGAAGCCTCTTCCTTCTCCTCCTTCTTCTCCTCCTCCTTCTTCTGCTCGGGAACAGCAACTTCAGGGGCAGCGGCAACCTCGGGGGCTTCTACCGCAGGTGCAGCGACCTCAGGAGCGGGGGTTACGCTAGGAACGGGGGTGTTCTCACTAGGAGCAGCAGCAGCAGCTTCCTCCTTCTTCTCATCCTTCTTCTCCTCCTTCTCCTCCTCCTTCTTCTCCTCAGCAGGAGCGGCAACGGCGGCAGGAGCGGCGCTCTCGGCCGGAACAGCCTTGGCAGCGGGGGGCTCGGCAGAAACCTCGACGGGGGCGGCGGCGGGGGCTGAATGTTATGTATGGTTAGCTATCTTGCTCAAGCCAAGGTTGAGCGCGGGGTTCGGGTGTAAACGTACCGGCAGCGGGAGTCTCCTCCTTGGCAGCCTCCTTGGGGGCTTCTTGAGGGGCCTCGTTGGCAGCTAGCTCGACGGCACCGGGAGCGGCAGCAGCAGCAGCAGCGGGCTTGGTGGCATCCTTGGCAGGAGCAGGAGGAGCGGCAGCGGCAACAGGGTCGTGCTGAGCGGCATCGGCAGCAGCCTCGGTGGGCTTAGCGTGGTCGACGGGCTTGGACGCCCTCTTCTCAGTGGGCTTCTTGAAGGCAGCCCTGAGCTTCGCCTTCAGGTTGGTGAACGCGTCGAAAGCTGTGGTAACGAAAAGTCAGCCGGCTGGTTTCGCGCTTCATGTCGACAAATGGGCCCTGGTTGTCCGCTTGTGGATCGAGTTGTTGTCATGGTCGCCGGTCCCGTTGCGATGGGGACAGCCGGGCTGATGGAAGACGGATGCGGCAAACTTACGAACACCTGGCATTTTGGCGGTTGATTGTATGGGTTGTGGGTAACCAAGAAAAGGCGGAACAAGAATATGGTATGGTCAAACTGGCGGGTTTGTTAGTGGATTATTGTTGATGTTGTCGAGATGGAGCAGCGGATGACGCGGGAAAGAGGAATGAAGGGAACAGATGACGAGGAAAGTGAGGCTAAATATGGAACGCCATCCAAGGGGCCAACGTGGGAGTTATGTGGAGGCAGGGAGAGATAAGCAATAAGGGTACGTCAATGATGGGGCTGAGGAAACCGAAGCTGATTTGACGACGGGCGGGAGTTGAAGAGATGGACACGGAGAGAGAGACGGCTTCTTCCACCTGGGATGACTACTTGTTGGTGCCTTTGACTGACAGACACCCCGAGGGTCTGCATCTGACATTGAGACACAAGCAATTGGCAATGAGTGGCTCGTTGTTTATTTAGATCAGCTGCTTAAGTTGCAATCTGATGGTCCCGTCGGGGACCGTTCCAGCAGTGACACCCAGTGACACATGCTCGGCGCTCTGCCAATGGCCGGACTGCCCGCATCGACTAGAGCAGAGGAGGAGGAGGTGCGTGTACCGCGTCGCAACAGGAGGGAAGGGGCAAAACATGCAAGTGTTTGTGTGGGTGATGACTGGTGAACACACACCTTTTGAGACTGGAAAGTTGACGAACGACAGAGTGTAGCTGGCGATGATGGTATGCGTCGTCAAACTTTGCCTTTTGGATGCTTGTTGGTGTGTTTTTTTGTTGAGAAAAGGAAAAAGAAGAAATGACGCGAGAATAAGTGTCTTTTTGGAAAAAGGAAGAGGTAAGTACGGGGACGAGCAAGATGGAGATTAGCGCCTGGAAAGCGAAATTAGCCAGGGAGGGATGCGAGCGGGCGTTTACGGATTTGTAGAATTGTAGGTCCAGTTTACTTTTATTGCACGTGAAGTACATTAGTCTCCTAGGTACTGTGTAGAGGTAAACCACCCACCTTTTCTAGGTATTACAGCTACTATTTTAGTAATGCTTCAGTTGGACTTGTAAGTAGAGGTAAGAAGTTGACGTCGGGGTATCCATCTCTTAGGTTCTCCCCCACATCATGAAACAGAGACTGGACGATGCAAAACTGTCAGGGCAGGTCCCAGACCACTGACATGGCCGACATGACACACTGGCGCACCTCAAACCCGCAGGGTTCCTCCTCACTCACAGCTAGCCGCTTGTGGATAAGCATAAAATCTGTATCCACCCGACTACTGCGTAGCCCCCGCACTGCCTGTTCATGTGTTGTGCAGGCCCCGAGCTTGGGCCACATCCGTTAGCAAGCAAACTTCCCAACTCCCGTCCATACCACGGCAGGCATTTCCCAGCATTACAACGAAGTGGAAGCTTTCAGTTCTCTGCTCTAAAAATACTCGATACGGGACACGAATGATTCCAACGTCGTGACAACATCATCAATCACGGATCGAATTGCCTCGAGTGGGCACATGTCATTTCTCTGTCGGCCCACTTGGATGACTCGATCGCCCTCCTCGATAACCGAGAATGGATCATTCCAACCGTCGTTCCCGAGGCTCGCCGCCAACCAACAGGGCTGCATAGTGTGTTGGTAACCACAGCCAATTCTCCGGGCCACGTTGTTTCTTCTTACCAAATTCCGCTCCCTCCGCGCCTCCTCCGCATTTGCCTCGCTAGCCCTCGCTAGTTGTCGCTACTAATCTTGTTTCTCCCTCGCTACCCTCTCCCCGGATTCGCCCTGGAACATCGTCATTCATATCACAAGTGCCGATAGAAGCGCTGGAAATCATAAGTCACATCCGAACTATTCAACTACCGATCCCAATGTCCGCGCCCTGGCTCACCGTTGCAGACATACATGACTGCAAGTGCTTACCCGACGCAAGACACGTGCGGACTGATCCATCTGTACAGGTCTTGGATGTGATGCAGCTGCAGAGTAAATCATCTCAAAAACTGCCATGCAACGAGACCTTGCAGCAGGCCATCAACAAAGTCAAATCTCATGGCTAAAGGACTGTGTCGAAAATCACAAAAGATGTAATTCGCACCAGGAAGACCATTGCTGGCATCCGACCCGTCTGGTCTGAGTCTCTGGTAAATCCACGAAACACAGATCTTGGTGCGCCTCAAGCCATCGGGTTGGACCAAAGTCGCGGCGATGGGACCCTGACCTCGGTATCCCAACATTATCTAAACTTCGATCCAACCTTCTGGAACCGAGAGGTTACCGAAGCTCTGGTGAACACCACATGCCAAGTCCTCCAGGGGCGTATTTGATCACCTCGTATACTACATTTCGGCAAGCGACAACTAGTGTGGGAGTAATTCGAGCATAATGCGGCGGGAAAATTTCCCAACCGACTCCATCCTCGGATAATCGAAGCCGGTCCCGTAATGTACAAAGACAACGCCTGTTCTTCGACACTAAAACGTCATATACGGAGCAAAAAGAAGACGAGCTGAGCCATTACCACCTTTGGGCCCGCTTGATCGAGTCCTCCACGGCCTGCAAACTAACCTTCGAAAGCGATAAACTCATTGCCTACTCTACTTTGGTCAAGATGGTCCCAGCACGTATCAACGATGAATATGTCGCCGGCATGTGGCGCAAGTATCTCGAACACGAGAGTTACTTTGGCAACTCCATCTTCCCCTATTCTTCTTGACCAAGATCTGACCTCCTCCAACTAACAGAAGAAGAAGTCATCTCCCCAGCTAAACATGGGCCTCAATAGACTGCCCCTTACACTCGAGACCTAATACAGTACCACAACTCCCTCTACAGAGCCGACTCCGTCTCCCTCACCTACGCCACCCCCAACCCAACAGGCGACATCCTTCCCGGAGGCCGCCGCCATCTCCGCGACATCTTCATGCCCGTCAAGCTCATTTACACAACCACGCACAGCCGGATGTCTACTGGAACGTTATCATCAAAGGCATCGAGCTCGAGTGTCGCCTCGCGCTACGTCGAGCACTCCACAGAGGGGGCGGGTATCCTTCGAGGACAGGTTTCCGATCACGCTCAACGAATTTAAAAGAAAACTCTGACGTGGAAAATTAAACCGAGAGGATATTCGTCATGCCAGCGTGGACGATGGTAACGAAGTCTCGAGGCGATATCGCTATTTCGATACCTGGACGCGGAAAGGGGCGTATATGAACGGTTGGGCATTTTCAAGTCAGTATGATGAGAACTGTCACTTGGTTACAGAGACTCACCGCGGCAACTCATATCACGGTTTACACTGAGGCAGAGATTCGTTTGCTTGCCAAATACCTTCAAATGCAGCCCGGTTCGCCGGTGGCGGTCAAGTGCAGCGAGCTGTGGTGAGAGTGGCAAGCAGGCAAGGATCCTGCGCAAACACATAGGCATGAACCATAACGACTTGAAGTTGCGAACTCAACCACATTTTACAATCAGCAATATATCAACCATTACCGTTCGACTACATACCTCTCTATGTTCAGCTCAAGAGAGAAGCGGCCTTGCTTCCTCTTTTTTTTCCCTCTTTTTTTTTTTTGCGATCATATCCCTCCGATTTGCCCGATCGTTCCAAGAGCACCAGACTTGCATAGATATCCGGGAATGGGAGGCACTTTTGAATGTGATCTGAAATGGTGGTAGAAATTCAACGTGCGCATTTGCAAAGTCCACAGCAGCGCTTATCCTAAGATTTATGAGAAATGCTGGACCTGCTATGGTAGGATATGGACAAAAGACAGGGGATAGCTAAGCGCGATGAAGTAGGTGATTGGCAGGGCTACCTCACGGAATAGTGACAAAAGAGGAGTTCAGGCTCCAGAATTCGCCAGTAGCAACCCCGGCTCTACAACAACACACAAGCTTCAATTCGTCCAGCTTTGTATCGATTCCAGTAGCGCGGTTGAGCAGTTATATCTTATATGGTAGACCCCATAACAAAGATGACAACGAGAGCGACTATCAGAACTCACACTCACTTTGTATCAAGCAGTGATTTCGAAGTCAGGTAGCGAAGACTGTACTAGCTTCATATCTCAAACACTACAGCGACTATACAAAGCCCACCAGCAAGCACCCTGACCGACATCGATTTCCCTGAAACGCCAAAAAAGACTCCTTCGATACCAAAATGGCTTCTCACAACCCATCATCACCTCCATCATCATCACCTCCACACATCGATACTTCCCATCCCAGTCCAGATTTAATTCAATCAACAACAACAATGCCATCCGAAACTCTCCAAACCCATCCCCATCCCCATCCCCACCCCAACCGTCTTCAACTCCCGCCTCGTCGCCCCCAACCTCCTCCAGTTCAAGCCGCTCACCTGCTGCAAATGCAACTACATCATGCTGGACACCGAGTGGCGGTGCAACCACTGCGGACATGATCACGAGTACATGGGCGACGATCGGCGGGAGGAGAAGTATGTTTATATCATAGAGAGCACCTCTCAAGCAACCGAAGTCAAGGGGTGAGTCACGATAACTTTTGAATTGAAAAGGAAACAAAAGATGTCTTG